ATGACAGTGAGACAAGCTGAAATTATGAATGTCAGTTCAAAAAAGCAGGTCTTGACATATGAAATGATGCACAGGCAGCAAAAGTTAACCCATAAATGTTGAGCTGTGCAGGACTTTTTTCCAGAATGGTGACTTCTTTCTAAAAAATATATAGTTAGCCCAATATCAAGATTAGGATAACTGCAGATCATCTTAGGGGATGCAGCATATCTGTAAATACATTCTGTGATCTGGAAAGTTTAAAATTGGATTGGATACTGAAGTACTGAAACTACTAACTCATATAAAAGTTTTAAACTACTTATTATTCAGTCTAAAATAACTGCAGCAGTCTTTACCTTTTCTTTTGGTAAGAGTACAATATCTCAGCTTCTCATTTCCATTTATAAACAATTAAAATGCTAAAATATTTTAATTTTCTGATGGGTTTTCCAAGAGAATTCTGATTGGATTATTGCAGGGCTTTTTATGACTGCTGTTTAAAAAAGCATGTGAAAGCTTTGGGGATTAAAATACTGCCTTATATGTGTAGGAGAGAAGAAGCAAGAGGAAGATTAAACCCTAGTAGGTAAGTGGATATAAAGTGTGCTTGAGGATGTCCTCCTCGGAAGCAGATCATGCATCTTCAAGTACTTATAAAATAAAATAATTTCTGACAGAACTACGGTTTCCCATACCACACGGAACAAAAAATGTGGAGAAGGAAGAGACATTATAAACATTGTAAAAGTCTGAGAAAGGGAGGCAACATTTCTTTTGCAACAGAGAGGAACAAGGAACGAAATGGTTTGTGTTGGAAGGGACCTTAACGTTCATTCAGTTCCAATTCTTTTGCCATGGCCAGCAAAACCTTTCACCGGATGAGGCTGCTCACAGCTCCCTCCAATGTGGCCTTAAACACTTCTGGGGATGGAGCATCCACAACTGCTCTGGGCAACCTGTGACAGTGCCTCAATACCCTCACAGTGAAGAATTTCTTCCTAATATCTAACCTAAATCTACACTTTCAGTTTGAAGCCATTCCCCCTTATCCTGTCACTACAGGCCTTTGTAAAAAAGTCTCTCTCCAGCTTTCTTCCAGGCTTCCTTCAGGGACTGGAAGCCAAAATTAGGTCAGCCCAAAGCCTTCTCCTTTCCAGACTGAACAATCCAGCCCTCTCAGCCTTTCCTCATAGCAGAGGTGTTCCATCCCTTGGATCATCTTGGTGACCTCCTCTGGGCTGGCTCCAACAGGTCCTTGTCCCCCATGTGCTGGGAGCCCGGAGCTGGATGTAATATTCCAGGTGGGGTCTCAGCAGGGCAGATCAGAGGGGCAGAATCCCCTCGCTCCCCTGCTGCCCTTGGTGCTCCTGATGCAGCCCAGGACACAGTGTGGCTCTGGGCTGCCAGCACACATGGCCAGGTCATGCCCAGCCTCTCAGCCACCAGCACCCCCAGGCCCTTCTGGGCAGGGCTGCTCTCGGTCTGTTCATCCCCCAGCCTGTGCTGACACAGGGGGTTGCCCCATCTCAGGTGCAGCACCTGCCCTTGGTCTTATTAAACCCCATGAGAGCACAGTGAACTCCTTCTCTGTCTGGTCCAGGTCCCTCTGGATGGCATCCTGTCCTGAGGTGTGTCAACCACACCACTCAGCCCCCTGTCATCAGCAAATATGCTGAGGGTGCACTCAATCCCTCTGTCTATGTCATTAACAAAGGCATTTAATAACACTGGTGCCAACAAAGGACCCCTGGGAGACACCACTTGTCAGTGATGTCCATCAAGACTTTGAGTTGTTGATCACTGATGGATACAACTGTTCAATCACTTTCTTATCCATCTAAAAATCCACTCATTAAATCCACCACTCTCCAGTTTGGGGAAAAGGATGTTGTGGGTGACCATGTCAAAGGCTTTACAGAAGTACAGATAAATTACATCTGTAATCTTTCCCTTGTCCACCAATGTAGTCACTCCATCAAAGAAGTCAAATTCCATTTTATCTTGTTTTTCTGTGCCCTTTGGGGCTACTCAGACCCCTCAGAACGTCAGAGCACAGCATCAAGTACAACAAACAAGAATTCCCCTCAACCCAATTCTTTCAGGCCTTGGATTGCAGCCACGCCAACCATCTGAGCTATCCTGAGAGCAGGACAGGGAATCTGCTCATGAAATATATGAAAGAAAATTTGCTGTGTAACTGTTGGCAGGCTTGAGCTGCAGTGCTTTTGCTGTTCAGACTCATTTATCTTTACAGGTTATCTGCTAGAACTGCACCTCAGTACACTCTGCTAATTTTCCCTGTGAGGAAAAATAACACAGTTCTTGGAATCCAAACACAGAATTATTTTCACTCATTTATTTGTCTCCAATTTATAATTTACCCATCTAATTACAGCAATAATTAGGCTGCAGGATGTAATATATATGTTTCCACAGGTAGCTGCTGAAATTGTACCAGAGGTTATGCAGGGAACTGATGTGTGTGATAATTAACGTTTTGTTTTATATAGCCAAATCCTACACACAAAAGGAAATATATATTGCAAAATTCTCTCCCATAATTTTATGGCAGCTGTCTGCTCTCCCAGACAACTTCCATACTGTGCAGGCTTGACAACACAATCTGTGTCTTATCTTTGCACTGAATTCACTGTGTATTTGCAAAAAAGAACATATAGTGCATTTTTTTCTAAGATCAGCTTGGATTTCAAAATCAGAAATCTGGTAACTCTCCAATTACTCAGAATGGCTGCAGGTTTCATATTATCTGCACACATTTCTATTTTACCTAATGATGACTCTGGTTAAGCAGAACTATTGATACCAGTAGCAGGAAGTGTGATTTTGCATTTGCTTTGTTGCTAAGACTAAGATAGTATGGGACAATGAATTAACTGTAACTGTATCAGGAAAATATATAGAGTGTTCGTGAACAGAAACAGAAATATGACAGAAGCATGTCATTATAAGAAACACCGATGTAAAGCAGAAAAGAAGCAGTAGATAATTTCTACTAAATACTAAGGAAGGAAAAACAGTAATGAAAGGCAATTTTTTCTCCCTTTTAGCCTGCTGGCTAAAAAGTAGCAGCTTGAACCCCCTCCAAAATCCAGCCAAAATTATCGTGATATACACTGTGCCATATTTAAGGGAAGCTGAGCAAAATGTAATATAATATTCAAAATAATAAAAGAAAATGAGGCATACTATTATGAGAAGACAGAGGTTGAGGGCCTGTGTATGCTACACCATTTTTAGAGAGGTGCTTGGTATGTATTCCTGCACTGAACATTTCAGCCTTCTTATTCTTTCACTATCCACATTACCTGGTGAATTACAGAAAATCATCTATCACAATTCACCTTACTCGTTACAAATCTCAGTATGTTTATTTTACATGCTCCTCATTTCCTTTTTTTTTTTTTTTTTTTCCCCCAAAGGAATTCAAGGTTAGAAAACGCGGCAGCTATGGATACAGTTTTACTTCAAAAGCGTGAGGCGAAAGCAGCATTTCCAAGGCGCGGCTCACGGAGGGATGCTGGGTTTGGCAGGCTGTCCCCTTGCCCGGGCTGTTGGGCGGGATCACAGCGCTCTCTAGTGCCTTCAGCGAGCACACGGAGAGAACCTGATCCCCTCTCCCTAAATAAGGCCACACACCGAAGTCCCACCACAACCAGTTTGAAAAATATGCCGAATAAAATGGCTGTGTTAATGATCGGCTCGCAACAGAATTTTTTTTTCCTACCGATGACTGATTTAGCTATAGGAAAAGAGCCACATATATTAAAGACGTACACATATGCATAAGTAGTACTTGCCATCTTAAAAATGTCAAGGAACAAGCTGGATGCTTTTTATACAGCATCAAAAACAATGTTGAAATATTACACCGTTTCAATAAAAAATAGATAATGTTTAAAAGAATGCAAACCCAAGAAATAACATGGCACGAATTTCAAATGCTGCTTTAGGAATAGAGTGTGAGCCATCCACAAAGCTTTATCAGAAATGCTAGGTTTTTAAAGAAAAGAATCTCTTATTGAAGATTATGACATATCAGGATACTGTTTTCATAGTCTTTCTTACAATCTTAATAGCACTTCCAAGTGAGGAAAACATGTAAAATATCACAAAATCCAGCATAATTACCAAGGTCAGCTCATTATCTGTGACTCAGAGGCAGTTAAAAGAAAATCCAGCAAGGAATAAGCTCTTGATGGAATATTAATATCTACTTTGAACATTCTGGCTTTTGAAATATCATGTTTCTTTGGCTGTTATGAAATTTCAGTTTTCCTGCCAAGAGCCTTTTTAAAGAATGGTAAAATACACAATACCTTTCTACATGACCAGAACATACATTCATTTGTCTGCTTAGGTAGTCATTATTTTAAAAGTATACCTATACATCCTTTCAAAAAGATATTTTCCTCAGATGCAGATTAGTTTTTCAGAAACACATCCATAAAACTCATTACTATCACTTATTTTAAAATATACATATATTTGTAAAAACTGGAATTTAGCTGGATTTGTAACATGAAGGTTTAGTGCTGTAAAACAAAGTTTACCTCACCTACTATTGAAATTATGATATATTACATATTTAGATGAGTATTTTATGCTACTTATATAACCTATGTTAATGCAAAAGTTAAGCTTTTTACAAAAGGCATTGTAGGCCTCCTTTAGTCCCTCAACTATATTTTGGTTTATATGGGCCACTTTGTGTTATTATAATTTCCAACTGTTTTTCTTTTTTTTTTTGTTTTTTTTTTAATTCCCATGGGATCTTCACATGTTTAAAGTTGTACCTATCTGTACCTGTGCAGAAGTACTACTAAACTGGGATTGTCCAGTTAAGGTGATGTAATCTCCTGTGATCATATTGATTATTACAAAATAAAAGGTTTCATACAATATTACAAAATTATATCGTACTTTACATCCATAATTTATTCTGTCTATTATTCTGTAATGGTTCTCACTGGAGATAATATAACAATAACCGTACTTACTTTTGAGATCCAAATTTCTGGCTCCTGCTGTGCTCTGTGTTGTAATTTTAGTGTCAATCTTTACAGTGTGTAAGTTGTTGGTATCCCTTGATATCATGACATTATGCCACTGGTTGTCATTCAGAGGTTTATTGGAACTTCCCTTGATGAGGTTGGCACCATTTCCCAAGTCAAACACATAGTGTAAATACCTGGGAAAAGAGAAAAAATTGGAAAAGTTTCCTTTTTCTTTACATAGCAAGGGGGCAATAATTAACATGTCTAATATATTCTATTTGCTTGTAGTCCTCAGCAGAGCTGGCAAAACCAGAAGACAACAATGAATGCCAGATGGGGAAGCAACTGTCATCCCGAGAAATTGCCACTCGTTTGGATGAGTTGAGGAGCAGTCCCAAGTTTCTGGAAAGCAACGAGCACTCCATGTATCAAGACATGCATACATACGTAGAGAGAGAACAAGAGGGAGGCTATAAACTAGCACTTCTTTGTGGTAAACACGAGAGAAGTTACACCTATTATTTACTTTCATACATTTCAGGCATCTAGCTTCATCTGAAAGAAAGAGTCACAATAAAGCACATGAAGTTCAACATGAAGAAACATTTATCGATCACATCTATCCAGTTAAAAAAGAGATCTGCATCCTAAACTTTCCCATGTATTCCTCCTGCACACACATGGATTGGTTTTGTCGTTATGCTAATCCATACATACCCTTTTACTAATTCAACCACAATGAAATCATTTCCATCGCCACTGTTAAAAAGTATCAATCCATCCAGGGAGGTGGTTTTGAACTGGAAAAAAAGGTGCATAGATGTGTACGCCTGTAGCGTGGCCAGTGCAACATAACTTGCTTTTGTTTTAAAGGTTACAGGGTCTGCTATGATGTTCCTGAACCCGAATCTTGCATTTAGCTCACAATAATCGATGTCTCCATTTTTACATAAGTCAATGTATGCCATGCCATTAAATGTGAGACTCTGTAGATGCCCAATAAAATTAGAAGGCACAGAAGACAGGTAGCGCCGTTCTGTTATTATTCCTGTTTCTATGTTGTGGAATTCCAGTCGTGTGTGATCGCCAGCCATTTGACCTTTAAACAGCAACAAGAAAACATGCGTTAGTGTCTGAAATGGGAGGTCAAAGAGTACATCATGTGATTAAGCATCTGCATCATTTTCACACTTTTCAGAATGTGCAAGGCCAATTATTGGCTCCAAAGGGAATTCTTCCAAATTCATCCTAATTACTGGTAAATGCAGGAGCCTTTCCAAAGCATTCAGTACATTTGGATGAGGCTAACAACAAGATTTCTAAACTGAAACAGTTTACCAGAGTACATTAAACTGCTAACAAAATCCCTCACTTTAGTTACACTTAACCAGATGCGGGGTTTTACCACAAGCAAGTGCAATTACCTAACATGAGGATCACGAAGGCCAATCTCAGAGCTAAACCAACAATATCATGAAAGAGAAACAGAACAGCTTGAAGGATTTTATTCCGTGTGCTTTGCTTCAATGTGCACGATTCGAGTAGTGGTAAGAAGGATTCCTGTTTCAGCTGTCTTAGGTACATTAATGCCAGCCCTGCTGCAAAGCCCTGTGTGACAAGGGTGGAATGCTGCTTGAAAGCAGCTGGCTTTGTACCATGGAGATAAACCATGGGAGAAGGGGCAGAGTCCAAGAGATGGGCTGGACAGAAAGCCCTCAGGAAGTGTGCATGCCAGTGTTCTGTAATCTTGGAAACAAGAAGGGACTTGCTTATGTCAGAAAGGTGGCCAAAAAGCAAGCCCCACAGCTGCCTTTGAGTTCTCTCTGTCATCAAGGACCACTGCAGAGCAAGAAGTCTGAAATCTGCTGATGTAAAGCTAATTTGGAGGAAAGGATCAGCATTCCCAGACTACACTGCATACAGGTCAGGTAAGTTTCTAAGCTAGTTATTAAATACCTTACCCAGCACATCAAAATGATGTTCAGTGAAGAGTTCCTTTTTCTGACAGAATGTCCAATTTTTTCCATGCTTATTTTAAAGAAGTAGGCCAGTATTTTCACAGGGCTGATTCATGGTCACATTGTGTGGAAAAATAGCTCCTTATTACTAATGAATTTCACCACTTAATATACCTTTTGCAAACCATGGCCTAGATTCCCCAATTCCTTAGCTGTTTCATGTCTGTCATGGAGTACAGAGAAGGTGAAGAGCAGACCTAGCCAGGCTGGACTAAATACTGGCATAAAACTGCTCTAATACAGGTTCCCATAGCAGCAAAGCTGTTGACAAGCCAAGTTCCCTCTGTCCATCCCCAAACATAAAATTCCAAGAGAGAGTGTGAGCACTGCTCCAGGCTGGACTTGTCAGAAGTGGTGCACAGATCCTGGAGGAGGCTGACACAGCTGTACCTTTGTAGGTGTCACAAGCAAGTGTCTTTGGATGTGTGTGACAGGAAAAAGACAAGGGAAAGAGAAATGTCACTATCTGGGATTTGCCCAGGGAGATGAATTCACAAGAAAGTTAATTCACAGTGCTGAGAAACAAGTACAGACATCAGTGAAGGTATGGGGAAAATAGCTCTGTAAGTTTTAATACCATTCAGGCACAAAAATTGCTCTAATAAATTATGATAAATATTTACAAGTAGCTTACTTAGCTTTGGGATGAGTTCTGTGGGAGAACTTGTCATTGAATATCACCAACACCACCACCTGTGATCTGCACTCATTGGGCTGAGCACTGCAAGAGGCACCTTAAACCCCAGGGACAGTCTTCCTGATGTTCTTGTTTCTAAACATCAATTCTGAAGATACCACTTTCCCTGAATGTATTAAGCAAAAGTGGGTTCTTCCATGCAGTAATGAGTCAGAGAGCTGTCTTGAAAAATGCCAAATGTGTAATTTTTGCTGGGACAAGAGCTGTATATTAGATCACAGCCAAAGAGCTGAGGATCAGTTTTCAGAGAGTAACATTATATGTTTCAGCCTTGTATCTCTTCAGATGGCATTCCAATAATGTCATGGCAAAAATCCACCAAACTTTGGCCTGTAGCACAATAGCCCCACCATATTAAATGTATTTATTTCTTGAGCATAGTAATAAAAATGTTCCAGAATCTGGGCTCACATCTCAAATATCCCTCCAACATTTCAGTTCTACAAACATGCAAGCAAGACTTGAGGTTTCAAGTAATGCTCCACAGGATTTTTAAATGCAGCAATGAAGTAAAAGAAAATGTAGTTTGGGCTTACAAGGTTGGGGATTTGATGATTTTTTTTTTCTTTTTTTTTCTTTTTTTTTCTTTTTTTGTCTGGTTTTGGTTGTTTTCTGTTTTTATTTATTTCTTTTTTAAAGTTTCTCAGGTTTATGGAAAAACATACAAAAGGGCAATTGAAATTCTGTTCATAAGCATAAGCTATTATGTAATCCAAATTTAGTGACCTTCCAACCACTTTTATTTTCTATAAAGTCTTAGAAAATAAGGTTCATCAGGGCTGGAAGTATTTAAACTCTTCTATGATGAGTAACTTCTCCAAAATCACCTTCATGGCTTCCAATGCAAGCTAGTTATGACTCTGAATTATATTATGTATCCATGCACACATTATGCATTTGTCAAAGAGAACCAAGCAAAACTCACAAATGAACAAGTGGCATTTTCTAATCTGTAAAAATCGGAAAGACATACTGAATTATGTAATGGATTTTCCTCCAGTTTAAGCTTTCTGGATCCGATGTGGTTTCTTTCATATACGGCATAGGAAATGGAATCAAAAAAGGAAAACAATGCGTGGCAGGGGAAAGCTGGAATTTTTAGTAGGAAGTCAGTTTACTTCCCTATTCACCTCATAAAACTATAATAACCTTTCACATGAAAAATTAAGTGGTTGTATTTTAACCAAATTTCTGATTGTTGGGGCATCTTAAGAAAAGTTCTAAGCAGTTTGGAACAAGCACACTTTAATCTCATATGGCAACCCTTTCCATATCCTTCGGGAAATTCAAAGCTACAGTACATTAAATTCTATTACACACACTTGAAATTTAAAATTTTAAAGGCTTTAAAAACACTCAGTGTTGAAAAAACCCGAAAACAAGCAAAAAACCCCTCCACCCCCCCAAAAAACCCCAAAACCAAAAAATCTCACCACTTACACAACAATAAAGATTTTCTTTGTATGAAACATGACATTCATGGAACTAAGAGCAGATTACCCATATTTAAAGTTCCCTCTGTTCCTTGTCATAAGGCAGTTTCCCCCTCACTGGTGGAGGAGGCCACAGATTGGCCACGCAGATTCCTACAGGGAGTTTAGGAAGCTTAGGATGTCTTTTTCCCTCCAAAATAATGGGATGAGTTTTTCCTTTTGGTTTAATAACATTAAACATCTGCAGATTATGCAAATGAAGACGACTTCCAGTTTGAAGAACTGAAAGGGAATTCAAGTCAACTGGCCATTTTTGGATGTAGATACTGGGTTGAGGAAAGAATACAAGTGTTGCACCAGAAAGCTGGACCCAGCTTATGTAACCTGCAGTATTTGTAGATTAGAACTCTGGCATGAGGAGCCCAGGAATTGTGCATTTGGATCTTGCACTGGATTTTGATTTAAACAATTTTCTCTATATTAGAATCTGTCTCGAGTGGCAGCTGAAGCAGCAAGATTATAATATTTTATAGTATACTTCCTCCCATACTATAAATCTATTATCAAAAAGAAAATAAATTATTTAGGCCATCTACATTCTTAGGAAAATTACCCTAGGTATCATAACATAAACAGACTTCAGCTCTAGAAAATATATTGGTAATTTCTGATTCTAGAAAATGTGTTCTTACAACTATATTAATTATTTTTCTACCAGTTATACGACCCTCAGTGTTCTGCTGTGGTGAAAAGGGACTATTAAAGAAGTTACACTCTTTAAAAAAAAACCAAAACATTTTACTTGTTACCATTCAAATAAAACTTAGAACCAAGGATAAAAATTGTTGAATGCCACACAAAACCAAAGGATAATTCTAAAAAGCTAACAAAAAATTTAGGCAGATTCTGCTGTGCAAAAAGCCAGATCAGTTGCTATTTACAACATGCATGTAAGCATTGTCTTGTACAGAACAAAATCAATTCTCTATTAACATTTCTTATAATATAAATATAGAAATAAATTTCTATCATCTGCTAGCATGCATGTCATTTTTTTTCTCCCATCCCAACTGCTATTTCAGTATTTGAGAAAAACATGCTGCCTAATATATAATTATTGAGGACAGTTGATGCAAGATTCAAACCATAGTAAAATATCCTTCAGACGTTTATTAAATTCTTTCTTCCAGCAGTGGCATAGAGTATAGCCCTAACAATGTGTGGCCAAAAGCAGCTTGGTTGCCTTCTCATTAGTGATGTACCAAATCACTTCTCTCCAATCATTGTATAAAAGCATTCATTTAAGTCAGCATGAAGTTTTTCATTAATTGCAATAGCAACCTTAGAGCAACATCAATATCAAGAGTAATAACACACTTCTTGTACCAGCATTCCAATATGCATAGCGTGAATTTTGAATCTTACCCAAGAAAAGGGGGAAAAAAAGCATCTGTTTCTCTCAGATAAAGTAATTTTACTTCTGGGTGGGTTTTTCTTTTTTTGTCTTTTTTTTTTGTTTGTTTGTTTGTTTTTTTTGTTTTGTTTTGTTTTGTTTTGGTTTTTTTGTTTGTTTGTTTTGTTTTGTTATTTTTGTTGTTGTTTTGGGGAGGTTGTTTTGGTTTTTTGTTTGTCTATTTTTCGGGGGGGAGTGTTTTGGTTTGGGTTTTTTTGCTGTTTGTTTTTTTGGATTTTGTTTTTTTGTTTTGGTTTGATTTTGTGTTTCCCCCCAACAAGATGGAATCATGGAATCACAATGCCACAGTACCTGTCACGGCCTGCTGGTCATCCACCATTAACTTTAAACCTTTTCCTCGCCGCACCACACGCACTGTGTGCCACTCATTATCATTGAGGTTATAGCCAGCAAAAAGGGTTTCTGGGCCTTTGCCTGTAGGACATGCCAAACAGTCATTATGCAATCTTTAAAGCAGTTTACATGTGAACCTCACAGAGAAAGAGAGAAACAGAGAGACTGGCTGGGCAAATGTTAAAACTCATCAAAAGTCACATCAAGCAAGAAAATTACCAAGTATAAGCAAAAATATAGAGCTACTATATACTGTATACTATAGAGCTACTACATTAACACACTTCTAATGTCTATTTAACTATGTAAACACATTGTATATGCACCAGGTTTTCATAAATAGGCACAGTCAACATGGATTTAATTATTCACTTTTCAATATCATACAGTTCTTTAAGAAAAGGGATTACGGAACCAAAAGAACTTCAAATATGGATTTACAAGCCTGGATTTTTGCTCCTTTATTAAAAATAATTAGGTAGAAAATATAAAGTGGTAAATGCGTATGCATGTGTGTTATATTTTTCTTAATCTATGTCCACTTCTCTGTTTGTTTAGCTTCTGTTTATTAGGGTTTCTCAGAAGATCATCTATTACCTGATCTAGATGACTTGCTAATATTCAGATCCAGTACCTTCTGCTGTTAGCAGATCTTCCAACCATACTTTCCCTTTTCATTTATTTGATATGGTTTTTTTTTGAAATCTGCTATTTTTGTCAGCAATGCACCAAACACTTTTAATGAAAATTCATGTGTACAGCGCAATGTACTCATGATAATCAAACTATCCACAAACCTAGGAAAAAGGATACCTTTAATGCCCAGGAAAAGATTTCTCATAAGCAAAGGATTATGGAAATTGTCCCTTGTGCTGTTGACCAAGAAGTGAAAGAGAAAGAAAAACCCTGACTTTGTACTGCCATTGATATGAATAGATGATAGACCAAGTGCTAAACCAATCAATCAAAACTCATGTGGTGACTGTCCAAAAGGCAAAGCTAATCAGCAATATACAAATTGAATTCTTGTAGAACAGAGACCTCCCTGGCCTGGTTTTTAGTTCCTGTGGCAGAATAAATGCTGCTGATAACTAAAAGTTGTCAATTAAATTCTGGACTCCTCTGTGCTAGAGAAACACAGAGCTCCTGGAGCTGGTCCAGAGGAGGGCTACAGAGCTGATCAAGGGACAGGAGCATCTCTCTGATGATGAAAGGATGAAGGACTGGGCCTGTTCATCCTGGAGAAGAGACACTGAGAGGGAACCTCATCATTATTTGTCACTGTCTGCAGGGAGGGGTCAGAGTATGGACCAGGCTCTGCCCTGCAGTGCTGGGCAATGGGGACAAGAGGACACAGGCAGGAACTGAGGCTCAGGAAGTTCCACCTGAACATGAGGAACAGGTTCCTTACTGTACAGGTGGCAGAGCACTGGAGTAGGTAACCTGCTTGAGCAGGGAGGTTAGAGGAGGTTGAGCAGATGCCTCACTGTAGTTCTTTCCAACCTGACCCATCCTGTGATTCTGTAAAAGAGATACATTATAAAATAACTTTTTACATGGAAACATTAGGGTTACCCTGAGTCAGACCATTACCTGCCCTGTACCCTTCCAGGTGACTCTATACCACGTGTCAGTCTTGCTCTGAAAGGGACATGCAACTAGCTCTGAAACTCTTCCACTTTTCTCTTGGGGTTCTTTTCCATTCAGCACAGGCTAACTGTGATGAGTGAGATCTGTTAATAAAATCAAAGCCTCTCTGACTTCATAACTGCACAGAGGGAAAAGGACACTAAGAGTTTGATGTAGCTGTTCAGCATATTGGACAGTTTTCATCTCAGATGTTTTCCATCTTCTGTCAGCATTTTTAAAATTGCTGCTAGTTTATTGCCCTGCTTTTACATGCAACCTTTGCTATTTTGGGCATGCCAAGGGATCTCCAGGAACAAAAATGCAAAGCAAAGGCAGTGAGAGTCTCACAACACTGTTTCTCTGTCTCTCTGTATTGACACCAAGCTAGGAAAGATGTTCAAACCCAGCAGAAGCAGATGATTGGGGTCAACTACCTGAATCATTCTATTCCCTAAATGTTCGCTTTCTTTGACAAGAGAAAGATCAGTTTTGCATAAAGCTTAAGTGACTAATATTCTCTTTGAACGTTCTGGTATAGATGCAGTGACTAAAACTTTAAGCTATTTCTTTTAGGCACTTCAATGGAAACAACTTCTACCTAGATTTGGAGACAACAGATTTATAAAAAATGCTGAAATAACATGAGCAAAATCTTAGTGAGAGTCAATAGGCCTGCCTAGGCATACACCATTTAATATTATTGTAAACATATTCATATTTATTTGTTAGTCCAACCTCCTTTTTTTAAATTTTTAAAGTAGTTGAACCACTTAGTCTCCATTATGTCTCTTCAGATTTCTAAAAGACGTAAAAGCATATGCAATTTTAATTTACTCTCACATTAACAATCCTCTGTAGTGTCCCTTTCGTGTAAATGTGCCTCAGTGTATACTAACATCAAATCTAACTTGGCTGCTCACATTTGCAGGCAAATCTATCTATTCCCTTTTAATGGCTGGGGGACTTGTAAACTCTTCCTGTTGTAAAATTAAATGTGTGTTTTCCAATGCATCAGTCTATTTTCCTTGCAAGAGTACTCCAAGTAAAAAAATCAAGTCAGAACTCCGTGTAAACTGCCTGTTCCCACTGCACATAATCCAAAAGAGGATTAAGGAGACCCCTGGTGAAAGGGCTTTGAAAAGGACAAACCTTGGTATGACACACCATGGGAGCAGTGCACTTGAAAGAGTCCTGGCCTTGGAGAAACTATCACTTACATGAAAAAGAGACCTTTCTTTCCTGGGGCAGATCTCTAACAGAGAAAAAAGGCTTTTGATTTGCCAGAGAGGGTACAAGAAACTACAAAATAGCAAGGTCCAGTGCCCAGGGACTGTGTATCTCCCTGTCCCATCATGCTGCATCTCTGCAAAGTAGAATAGTTTTCCATGGCAGTTGAGGAGGGAGATAAGGAAGGATGGATGCTCACCATTCCAGTGCTAATGCAGTGCTTGGGCTGCTTCCTGGCCAAGGACATGCTTTCATACAGAAAAGCAACAACTATGTTTGTGAGCAGAGTATTTAGGAGAAAATTGTCTAAATACTTAAACACAAAAACACGTAGGAACCCCTTGATACCACAAGACTACCAGAACTGCAGAAGAAAACTCTTAACATACCTTGTTAAATGGCATTGGTCAACCTGAAACATAGTTCATATTAGTTCTTTCCTCACTGACTTTCAAATATATTGACCTGAAATTAATATAAACATCTTGTTGAGATCACAATGATACAGAGTCTTCTTGTGCCCTGGTTATAGTTCTTATGGTGAATCTACTAGAAATTCATATCCACTAAATGATTGGCTTGCCAGTGGTATTCTGACTTTAGACTGATCTGACTCCATTTAAATCACACCAGCAGAAAGTGTTCTTAAATGAGTGTATTTAAATAAGAATTGGCATACTGCCCCCTTTTTTTTTTTTTTTTTTTTTTTTGGCAAGGGGCAAGGGGCTTTCTGGGCTTAAAAAAAAGAATTGTTCTATATCTCTGACAAAAAGAAAAACAAGAGCCCAAATTAAAAGAATATATATACATATATACACACATACATACATACATATGCATAATTTTGTTTTGTTTTACATGGACTGATACAATTGTTCCAAACTTATGTCCCTCCACTCCTATTTCCCATACTGTCCTTCCCCTGGAACTCATCTGTCTGTTTCTAGACAAAGTTATTTTGCTTCACACACCCTGCCAGCACCGGCTCACTTTCTGAGCTACTGATTCTCTCAGATACTAAAACCTTAATCATAAACCTTTTCTTTCTGAGATAAGATGCAAACTGGAAAAAAAAATCCACTAAGTATTTCCTCTTGCTTAAGTATTAAATTTATTATCAACGTCTATGTTCAGTTCTTTTCCTATTTTTAAAGGCTTAAATCACTACCAGATTTTATGCATCCTTAGAGAAAATGGATAGTACCAAATAAAAGAAGCACTGGCACTTTTATGGCTGCCACAGTTTGCTCAGAGTCCATCATGCCAGTAAAATTTCCACATGCATTTAAAAGCAGGTAACTGCTAGTACAAATGGCTTTTTTACAAAGCAAAATGCAGACTGTGCAGTCAGTCAGTACAGGTACAAATCTTGATGGTGCAATTCATTATGAACTAGGACATATAAAGGCCCAAACATTCCCAGTTATATGTTTACTTTGGCATCCAAAGCTGAGTTTACTTTGTTGTCAGCATCTCAGGTGGAACTTAACAGACCTTTCAAAGTAAAAGGAAAAAGGTTTGAACCTCCCAAAGAAAAGAACAATCACATTTCCAGTGCAAAGAATATTATAAATGTTCTCTGGAGATTCCTACTCTCTTCACTCCCTTGTGAAGAGCTTATTCAGCCTAATTCAAGTGCTGAAGATTTGCTGAGTTCTAACCAGTCAGTCAATTAACTTTAATACGTGAATTTTTTCCTCATGTAGATATCTATCCTGCGATGCTTTACTTTTAACCAACTACTTGAACAGAACTGATGATTTTGAAAGAAGATACTAGCTCTTGCATTCTAGCAAAACCTGTTCAAAATGAGTTGTCTGAATTTGTTTCTCACAATGGCATCCACCACTACCATTAAGGCATATACCAAAATGCTCAGAGCATTCAATTCTGCCATCAAATAGATAAGAAACATGAAATATAGAAAGAGGCACTGTAAACAGAGACTAGGAAGGGAGACTAGGTATAGGGAATGCTATACTAACTAATGGAACCCAAGCCAGATACAGGCAAATCACTACTATTTATTTATTAGTCAGCGTATGAAAGATCAGTGGTTTCAGCCTGGTTTGCTAATAGAAAACTGTGCATACTACAGCTATCAGTTTCAGGTGGCATTTAGACAAAAAGACATTTGGACAAGAAGACAAAACCCTGAGATCAATTCACTTAATAGAGAATGTTCCTTTAAGTCAGAGTTGTCAAGACTTTAGCTAAAATAATAA